ATCAAGTGAAAACTTGCTAGAAATGTAGTGCCTTGGTTAACACTGAATCAGAAAGCCTGGGGGAAGTGGCCCCATTATCTGTGACCTAACAGGCCTTCTGGGGGGTTCGGGTGCACACCATGATTGAGAACCTCTGCCTTGATTCCATCTGCCTGTATCGCTCCCTGACTAGTACCTAATTCATTTAACAGACCATACCTTCCTAACAGACTTGTGCTCTCTCCCCCCACCCCATGCCACAGAACCTTTATAAAAATCTCTTACAGCATTTACATCTCCTGCATCTGTCTGTTTTTGAAGGTGGAGGCCACAACATAAATTACTTTTCATCTACATATGGCCCCTTCTCAGTGGTCTGTTAATAAGTGCTGATGAGCTAGTGAATGTATGCATGAATGAAGGACAGCATTTTAGGAGGAGTCGTGATCAATAAGGTCAGCTGCTGTGGAGAGATCACGGAGAATAATGAATGAAAAATCTATTGGATTTCACAGGAAGGCAGGTGTTGGTGACCTTTGAAATGCTTGCTTCAGCAGAGTGATGGGCAGGAAGCCCAGATTGCTGGAAGTTAGGGGTGTCCAACATGATAAGGACTTACACATTTCTTACTGACTGTTTATCTGTACATGTAGAAACAGAATTTTCCTGGGTGAAGCTACTGAATTACCTTTTTTTTGGTTGGTAAACTAATTCCATTTAGCCTGAGATATTAGAATATGTGATCATTGTAACATGATGTATTTTCTGATTTTTAAAATGAAATGAGATGATTACGAACCCTAGAATGATACAGGACTTGTAGTAAGTACTTAAAGGGCCATTTCCCTTATTTGTCCATCCCGTGATTATTTTTCTTGACCTAATGCTGTTAAAGACATTACTCTGTGCATTTTATAAAAGGTGAACTTCTTTAGAATAGTCTTCATTCTGGTCATTGCAGAAATTATGAATTTTATTTGGACTGGGAAGTATCCCTTTAGTTGAACCAGGCAGTAATTTGAAATTACATGTATCTACCTAGAGAAGTTCCCCAAAGGTGGTTGAATCCGTGGTAGTGTTTTCAGTAATCCTGATACGGATGGGAAATAGAATTTATGACTGTATCTTAATTTTTAGTTTCAATTAGAGAGGGGGTGGATGGGACCAAGATTGAGGGAGGTTGATTGATTGATTGATTGATTGATTGATTGATTGATTGATATTAGATTCACATAACTGATACAATTTCAAGCATTTTGTTAGTACTGGTATGTGGTCTTTTTCAGATTATCTTTTAGCCCAACTCATTCAATTCATACGATTACTGTTTATTAGCTCTTTTGTTAACTACAAATTTAGAGGAAAAAAAAGAATTCCCACTAGTTGTAAATAAGATCCTGAATTTGATCTTACAGTCCATCATTCCACCATTGTTGTGGTCTGGGAATAGGACAGACTTGCTTCTCCTCATTGACCTAACTCATGCTTCTTCTAACCATACAGGAGTTAGGCCTGAATCCTCCACAGTTTGGGACATATTGAAGTTCAGCAGAGTCCAGCTCTGCGTTTGCACATTTTATGTCAAAAGACCAACTTCTTACTTTTTATTCCTCCACATGTTGTCAAAATTTGGTGACTCAGCTGTGTATGGTTGCATATGACTTATATACCAGAATTTAAGGGGCAGAATCAGGCAGATCTGAGAGTTGGGGGCCGGCTTGGTCTACACAAGAGTTCCAAGGCAACCAGGGATACATAGTTAATCACTGTCTCAAAACAAACACTGAACAAACACCTGGGTGATTCCCGAGACTCAGGAACCATAAAGCAGGCTTTTTGGTGTAGTGTAGAACCTTAACAGAAAGGTAATCTTTGATGTTGTGTTCAGGCTGAAATTATGGCTGATCCCTGTGAGCCATGCTTATACCCTTTACACCCTCATCTGTGGTTCACTTCCTGGACTCTTGAGAACCTTTTCATTGTGGACGAGTTGGGCTTCGCCATTACTCCTATTGACTGACTAGCCAAACATCTTCTGCACTAGGGTCTAAAGCTGGCCCTATACCTACCTGTGTAAATAAAGTTTTACTGGGACACGCACACACATACATTCACTTCACCTTTATGGGTATGTAGCTCCTTCCCTGCTCTAATGCATAAGTCAATAATTGTGAAAGAAAAGTTGTAGCTTCCAAGATTGTTACTAAATACCAGGTTTTTATAGAATCTGTTGTCAACCCCTGCTGTCCATATTGCTTTATCCTACTATTCTTACTTCTTTATATATGACACATTAATGAAGAATGATCATAAACTGATGAGATGACTCAGTAGACAAAGGTGCTTGCTCCCAAGCCTGATGATGACCTAAGGTCAATCTCCAGAGCCCATGTCATAGAAGAAAACCCCCACAAGTTCTCTGACCATTACATGAGCACCATGGTACATGTGCACACCCACAAAACATTAAATGTAAAAAAAAAAAAAAAGATGAGGAAATAGCTCAACATCTCATTGTCATCTGCTTTCAAATGGTGTTTAAGACAAAGTGTTTTTGTCTTATGTTCTTTACTTGTGCTCTTCTAGTTATGTGGAAATCTGTGCCCCCTCCCTTCTCATCCTGTCTCTTCATCTTTTGAAACCAGCAACCTTTTAGCCTCTTAATGACTTGGAAGATGGGGTAACACTTTCCTTTTGGTGACAGAACATATCTAAACATAAGTCTGCATTCACTTTGCAGAGTTGCAAAATGCCAAACCCATGCATAAAATTCAGGATTTGGTGTCACGTCCTTTCTCTGCGATCCTTTCAATTTTTCATTTGTTGTGGTCCAAGCACAAACATAGGTTTGTTTGATGGAGTTCAGGAGGGTTGGTTAAAGGGACGTGGGAGAGGAGCAGATTTCCCCAAGTTCAACACTAGGCCCCAAGCAGATCGGCCACTCATCAGAAGGCTGCGTAGGCAAGCTGTACTTGAAGAAGAACAAGATAGCAACACCCCTCCCTTGCCGTTTGCAGCCTAAATGCCCTGTGGAGTGAGAAAAGACTTCAGTCTGCAGGCTTGTGAATCTCTTATCTTTCCCAAACGTTAAATTAATTTTTAAAGCTATTTATTCAAAGTTGACTTAACCACCAGAATAGGAGAGATCAGACAAATCAGCTGCAAGAAATGAAGTATGGGGAAACCCGAACTCTTTGACAAAGTATTCCTGGGAGTAAATGTGTTGAATGAAGCCAGCGGGTAAATGATAAGGGCCTTTACACTGTGGATGTAAGAAAGCAATTTATCAAGAGTACATGAACTCTCTAGTGGCTTCAAGTCAGGAAGAAATGAGAGTGGAGGAGGAGCCCTAAAAAATACATTAGAAATACTTTAAAAAAAAAAAAAAAGAAAAGAAAAAGCTGTCTGTGTGCATGCTCTTTTGAATCTCTCCATTATTATGCAGAAGTGCTGGTATGTTTAAATTGGGATGCTCATCTTGCATTTGGACAGTAGGCAATACTTCTGTGAGGGAAAGTGGTACAGGCCATTCAGTAGTCTGGAATTTTCAGGAATCTTGGGTATTCTCAGGTATAGCTGTGACTTAAGGCAGAGCACTGTCTACTATCTATTTGCCTGACTTATGAGGTTAGATGACCATCTCGCTGGCTTACAATGTTAGCATTCTTACTCTCTAGGGCATATACTCTCTAGTGTATAATTCTGACAGTTAATTGCAATGCCTTTTGTGTCCTCTTGAGGAGTTAATGGGTGCCTTTCACAGGCCATCTCTTGAATCTTGTAGCATCTCTCAGCCCTGTGGCTGTGACAGGTTTAGCCTTCATCATTTACAGTAGAGAAGCTGGGGCCACACATTTTATGTTCTCAGCAATAGGATTCCCAGTAACTCAGCTATAGATTGGAAATAAAACTCGGGATCTTACTTTAAGTGTTTTAACTTTAGGGGAGAGATGCCATTTCGTCGAGTTGAGGAGAAAACACAGTTACTGAACTGTGAAATTCCAAATATTTTCTCTGAGAATGGCCATCCTCAGCTTTCTTCACAAGATAATTCCATTAGCTGAAATCACAGGAACTTCCAGTTGTAGTTACTTGTTTGCATTTTCATCTGACACCTTGTAAGAACCCTTTAACAAAGTAACTAAGTAACTTCCATCCTAGTGAAGACAAGACTGTCCCGAAGACAAACTTAGAGAACTAAAGTTTCAGAAAAATCTCCCTTAGCTAATTTGAGTTGTGTTTTCTTAGCCCTCAGCACAGGCATTCACTTCCTTATTCTTTCTGAGTTAGGCTTTGTTGTGGTTGTGGTTGCTTTTGTTGAGATGGCTTTTCTGTGTAGCCCAGGCTGGGCTTGAGTGCTCACTCCTCTTTATTAGTCCCCTGAACACTGAGACAGTTACACAGTCTTCACCCTGCCGGGTGTGAGCTCGGCCTTTAACTCTGGTTTAGAAAATCATCTTCCTCTCCTGTAAACCGTTTAGGAATTACAAGGAATGTTAGCAGGAGTGACTCCTTTTCTGTTATAAAGGACGATCACTAAGTAGTCCCTGCTGGCCCTAGGACCCATTCCTCCACCTCTACTGCTATTATAGGCATGTGCCGCCATACCTGGTGTTGGAGGTGACTCTTATTTGAAGGAGTGATAGTGGTATAGCCTGTTTTTACAGCGTGAATTTGGACTGCTGCCTTTGTGTAGGGGAATAGAAGGCACTGTGATAACTTGAGCTGGAGTTTAATTAGTGAATTAATTCGTCATATTTTTTTGAAAAAGCCATAGTCATTAAAAAAATCCTCAGTGACTTTCTTTCTGTAAGTTAAATGTTTTGTCTGATGTTGTCTTTCATTTATAAATACCAAATCAAAAGGGGGGGGCAAAACAGGAAGTACAGGCTCTTGCTTAAATATCTATAGCTCTCTGGCAAAATGGAGCTCGGATAATGTCCAATAAGGTTTCTAATTTTGTGTCCTTTCTGTCTCCTCATCCCCTCCGCATACCTGGGACATCTGTGGGATGACCATAGCCTTGGATAAGCTCAGCACCCAGCACCTGTACCACCCCACTCAAGTGGAGATCGTGCAGTCCAATGTGGTGTTTGACATCAGCAGCCTCATGCTCTACGGGACACAGGCGGTGCCTGTGCGGCTAAAGATCCTGCTGGACCGGCTCTTCAGTGTCCTGAAGCAGGAGGAAGTGTTGCACATACTGCACGGCCTGGGCTGGACCCTGCGGGACTATGTCCGAGGATACATCCTTCAGGTAGGGGAGCATTTGAGCACTGAGTCTGGGCTCGCCCTTCGTGGGTCAGAGCTCTGGCTATACCTGGCTTTCTTCTTCCTCTCAGTTACCAAAATAGGTGTCCTCTCCTCTGGTCAGGGAGTACGCTACTGTCAGGCCTCAACAGTATATAGCTAAAGCGGAAGTAGTCTGTTGACTGGTATTGCTTTATGTGTACCTTTGAGTTCAACTCTTCGTCTCTAAAGTGGGCTGTCTTTGTTTTTGTTTTGTTTTTTGTTTTTTGTTTTTTTTTTCTTTTCTGAGACAGGGTTTCTCTGTGTAGCCCTGGCTATCCTGGAACTGTGTAGACCAGGCTGGCCTTGAACGCACAGAGCTCCTGCCTCTGCCTCCAGAGTGCTGGGGTTAAAGGCAAGTGCCACCTACGGCTGGCTCATAGTGAGCTGTGTTATTTTACTCACTGAGTCTTACTGTCTTCGAGATGCATGGGGAGTTTTACCCTCTAGCTGGGTTTGTGAAGGTGTTTCTCATGCCCACTAGGCAAGGTCTACTTGAGTTCTGTGAACGCTCATATTTATTATGCCTTTCCCCAAATCAAGGAAGAAACTGTAACGTACATAAACTAACTCTCTGCAAATCCTGCAAACTCTCATGTTGCGGTCTCGGGGCTTGACACATGGATAAAGGTTTGGCTGTCTTGTGACCTGGAGCCCCTCTTTTGTACCAGCGACGCTTCTAATGTGGTAGGGCTTTCAGATTATCCTACACCAACACCCCATCTCTCATTTCCTTTTTGGTGCTCTGCTAAAAAGTAAGTCATTTTGCCTCTGAAATTTCTCATGTCCGTCTACCTTCCTAAAACCCCTTGAGGGGCACATGTTGAGAAAAACATGTTGAGGACCTTAGGATCCTAAATCTGGATGATAGAATCCTATCTTTTCTTGAAGGAAATTTCAGTTGGGAAGGTAGAATCTAAAGTCTTCTTTCAACTTTCCTGTGGAGATATTTCCAGAACTGACCACTCAGAAAGAAAAATGTTTATGTTGGACCAGCCCTATAGAGTATAAAGATAAAAGCGATGTTGATGAGCTGAGCCATCCCGTGCAGTGTGCAAGTCCTTAGCTGTGAAGTGCACATATCACACACCTTTCGTCTGTGATGAGTGGAGAGCCTCCAGTCTCTCTGTGCTTTAATCTGGGATGAGAACGTACCAGCTCATGCCGTTCCTGGTTCCTCCAGGCATCAGTGAGGACAGAGCAGCAGTAGGATAGTGAATAGAAGCAGACAAAGTGGAAACAGAGGAGGTTAGACCAACCGTTCTGCTCCCCTAATAGGCTCCTTTCTTAGTTTACTGAGCGACTCCCTCAGCTTGGAAGGCACAGAAGATGGACTGAGGGTGACAATAATTAAATATGGCATTTCCAGTTTGAATTGGTTCTTTTTTGTCGCTTTGGTAAATCCCCATGACCAAGGCGACTTACAGAAGACTTCATCGTGGCTTACGGTTTAAAGGCAGAGACATCAGGTAGCAGACAAGGCAAAAGGAAGGGAGCCGGCTGCTCGTATCTTAACCATAAACAGGAAGCAGGAAGCACAACCGGAAATGGCAAGTCTTTAAACTCTTGAAGCCCATCTCCAGTGACATATTTTCTCTCATAAGGCCTTATTTCCTAAACCTCCCCGAATGGCGCCCCCAATTGGGCACCAAGTGGTTAAATAGATGAGCCTGTAGGAGACATTCTCATTCAGACCACCATAGTTTAAAAGGTATATTACATCATTCTCTGATATGTCCCAGGATAAGACTGTTTCAGTGGGCATGTAAGTCTTAAGAGCAGGGCAGTATGAAGGGGTGCAGATCCAGAAGGAAGAGTCAGGACAAAGAACGCATGGAGGGGCGGGTCCAGCCACTGTTTATACTAGCTGAGACACTCGGAGTAGCAGATCTTCCCACAGCAGCTGCCACGTCATTATCATCTCTTTTGGATACATTTTTCCCCCTACAAAAAAGAAACCTCTTGGACTGAATCTACCAGGTTGATCTCAGTCCTCAGGGGAGGCTTTGCCCTGGGGGGGCGGGGAGAAAGGGGAGGGGGGCAGGAGGGGGGAGAACAAGGGAATCTGTGGCTGATATGTAGAATTGAATGGTACTGTAAAATAAAATAAAAGGAAAAAAAAAAGAAACCTCTTACAAATGTCTGCCTGGAGCTGTTAGCTTAGCTAACAGTTTTCCTGTATTCAAAACCTGTCCAGCAATGTCTTCACTGTCTCCAGTATGGTGCTTGCTTCTGCATCAGTACTGTATTGCAGCATCATGACTGGTTTTGGCCTCAGAGAGCGAGAGCAGATATATTATGTCTTCCTGTTCCAGCGAATAGGTACATGGCTGTGCTGGTCTACCATCGTGGCAACTCTGTATTAACTCTTGTCACATTTTGATGTCACTTAATAGAAAACCTGCTAATTTCTCTGTGTCCTTAGAACACTGCTGTTTCCTACTGTTCTGATTTAACCAGAGCCTTGGTGAAAATATGAAATACTTATTTAGGTGTTAATTTTCCCAATATTATATTACATCTCTACAGTATAGAAAACATACTTCTTTCAAGTATACTGTAGATTTCATTTTGTATAAGAGAGAGTTGCAAGAGAAGTATAAAAGAAAACATCAGCAAAAAGTCTCAAACTAACGTATATATATATAACGTATATATATATATTCCTATTTCTCTTAATAGGAAAGGAAATGTTACATATAAAGAATATTGCCATTAGTATAATTATAATTAATTTTCATTAATATAAATTTTGACAAATCTCAAATTTTAATGTATCATTTCTTAAGAGTCTAGAATTGATATTTTTAGAAAATCATGGACTTGTCATATTAGAGGAACTCTCAGCTTAGTTTCTATCTTCTTTTATTGATAGAATTGATGTAATATTGATTTTCTTTAAATGGCATGTTCTGTCATTTAGTATTTATCATATACTTGTTCTCTATAAAGCACTTCTGGGCTTGTAATAAAAGCAAAAGATTGCAGGACACAAAAACATTAAAAAAAACTTATTGAGAAAACATTCATTTTGTAAAAGACAAAAGGAGTTGGGCTATAAAAACATCCTCTTTCTTCTAAAGATTTAGGCCAGTACTTGATTGCTGGCCAGTACTTTAGAATTATGTGTGGTAATGATGAGGTATGCACAAATGACTTTGAAATAATTATATGTAACATTTTTGTACAGGTAGACTATAAAATGTTGATTTGAGAGCTGGGGAACCCTATAATGCACTATTAGTGTACAAGTCATTTTATCTGGCTAAAACTCAATTGTCTTGTAGCCCTCAAGGCATCAATTTTAGCATTATTGCTCTCAACAACAGTATATTGAATATTATGTCAGTTAAAGGAGAGTAATTATCAAGGCAAGTTAGGGTGGCTGTTAGTCTTACCACATATTGACTTGGTTAGCAGTTGGCTATAGATTGTGTTACCGGGCAAATGAAGATGTACGGTGAGTTGAACTGGTCAAGCCAGGATATTAATCTAACTCTCTCTGGACCAAAACCTGCATTCTTTATGTATAGCCAGCTACTCCTAACTTTAGCAAGAGTTTTGAATGTGGAAGAGGGTATGTCATCTGTTTTTTAATCTGGAAGTGTGTGTTTGAGGGAGAAGAGCAGGCCATTCAAAACTCTGACTAAATCTATCATTTGTGTATCATATTCAAAGAAAAAGGAAGGTAATGGGGATACCACAGTCATTGAAAAGCTTGGCATATCTGTTAAGGAGCCTTTCACTTAGGTGGCATCTATGTGCTCTATAAGCCAGCCAGTTGAGTATAAAATGCATAGCATAAATTGGACCACAGCCATGTAAGAAGGTGGGCCATTTCCTGAAAGTACAAATTCCAGTGTTCTGTGTAGTTGATAAAGTCTTTGTTCAGAAAGGCAAGAGGGAGCATGTTCTGGAAAGTAAAATGGGAATATTCACTCAAATGCTAAAATATAAATATAAGGGAGCATATTTTTCTACTACTAAAGAATAATTTTTATTATAATTATTATTATTGTTGTTGTTGTTGTTATTCCAGGTCATCCTCTACAGATACTATTTATTGACAACCAATAAAAACAGTGGCCTGCCCTCTTGTCATCTTATTCCTCATTTCCTTTCTGTCTTTGACTTAAGCAATAATACAGATGATTATTATTGTTGGATTTAGTCATTTAAAAATAAAATTTTTACATAGTCTCCCTTTAGCTTGAGCATATAGCTAAGTTGCCTGGGTGCATGTACCATCCTGTCTTTGGAAATCTCCCTGCTTGTAAGCAAGTCCTTCCAGAATTCTAAGACCCAGTTCAGACTTTCTGAATAATTAGCAGAGTGTCAGCAGCCTGTGAGCAGAGCAGCAGTGGTGCACATTGCAAGTCACCTGGGCCTTAATGGAGCAAGCCATATAGTTCTAGCACTTCCCAAAGGCTGACATCAGTCCAAGAAGTCCTAGCTTTAGATGTGGGAGGAACCACATGCTGGATCCCTCCCTGAGCGCTTAGGATACACATTAGCATACTAAAAGCCCTGAGAACTTTGGAAGGAAATACCTCTTCCTCAGCATGCATGTGGTCCACTTAGGAAGGGTTTCTACCCACAAGTCCCCACTGTTCTGCCTGTGTGGGTAATTTCTTCTCCTATAGGAGTCAGTTGAAATCCAGTTTTTCACCAGGACTAGCTGAAACAATGGAGCTCTTCCTTTGCTGTTGTGATTTTTATCTTCAGATTGCTTCCTTCCAGCTCCATCCACAGTTTCAATACAGTCAGTCAGTTGTTAAAATGTCTCTCCTGACATTGCTATAAAGTACTACAAAGTCACTCAAATTGTATCAGTTACAAGCAAATACGCTTAAATTTACAATATAATATTTTCCTATGGAACTGATGCGATACCCATCAATTCCAGTTGGTCAAAGGGTCCTTAGCCTTTCTTCCCACTCACTAGGGGCTGGCCCAACAGCTAGAGCT